TTTAAACGGTTCGGTGAAAGATTCAGGAAACGGCCCCCCTCCCCCGTATCTCTCGAGGATTTCTTTTATTAAAGCGAAAGCACGTTGTAAAAGTGACCGAAATCCACGGTCGCTTAAGTTAAAAAGGAATCGGCGATTTTCGACGAAACTTTTTCCCTTATTGGGAGAAATCGAGAGAAGAATCGTTGGCCCGTGTGATGGGGCGATCTGCTTACACGATTTGGAAAATGTTTAATAGTTAATAGAGCCGTATTTCATTGGCGCGTAAAATATCTACGACTTTAGAATTCTCACGAGTGAGATAATAGCCGTGTGGCGGTAACCATAATCGTTACACCCGCAGACCTTAAAGTAAACTAAGATGGCACGTTACTTTAAGGCCGAAAGACATCGCGCATACATACGCGTGTCACCGTTTTATCCCGAATAATGTAACCATGATTCGCCACGTTGTAACTTTTGTGGCATAAAAAAAAAGGAAAAAATACGAGATAATATATATCGTCGACTATTTTTTTCTTCTTTCTTTCTTTCTTTTTCGTCCACGCTCAATCTCGCACAGAGCCTTCAAAACTTGATCTCGCATCATTTCCGAGTCGTTGATTTATTATTAGTTTATCTTAAAGTATGCATTTACGTCGGAAGATTTACCACAATTTCACTTCTGTCTCGCTCACCATTTCGCACATATTCCAGGCTTATCGTTGATGGTTCCGGTGGTGGTTGCTGCCTCTTCCACCGACGTGGGCCGCATCATCGTTTATATCCCCGTTTGCCACGGCCTCGTCTCTCCTCATCTTTTTTATTGCTCCGAGTTGCTCGCGACCTTAGTCGCTCGTTAAATTTCGCGCCATCTTCTGCGAGCTTAACGCTCGGCACAAGTAAAAGATAGAAGAGGAAATAAGTGGCTCTCGTGGCCAAGGGAAAATTCGCTTTTCACGGAATGCCGTATCGCCAAGCCGTCGGCGTCACAACGATTCGTTCGCTCCTCGAGGATCACTCTAATAAGTAATCGGTCTTTTAATAAATGTCGCCCTCTGCTTTTTCATCTTTGATCTTGAAGCCACGTCGTCGTCCCGAGTGAAAATTTTCGATGCGCCGTCCACTCGTATCGCGAACATCCACTCTTCTCCCGTTTCAAAACGAACCTCTCTTTCTCTTCTCTCTTCTCTCCTTTTCTTCTCGTTTCTCGTAACTTTCACAGACAGTTTACGAACAGATGGGCTTTTCATGCCCCCGTCTCGCGAGATATTGTTGCTCTCTGAATAAATTTATTATTCCCGAATGATCGAAATCGCAACAAATTCGTTGAGATCGATCGGTGGAACTCGATCGATTTAATTATCGAACATGTTATAAGAAATTAAAATACGCTCAGTCATTTCAAGGGAGTCGCTCGAAAGAAGAGAGAGAGAGAGAGAGGAAAAAAGGAACGCAAGAACGACTTCTAAATTGAAGCACTACTCGAGTTTTTCGCTCGATCCATTTCATCTTCTTCGTTCAGTCTCGAAAGATTTTCGATCTTCAAAGATAAAATAGAAATGACAAAAAAAATAGAAAGGATCGTTTACCATTAAGATTTCACGAACGTCAATTTCCGTCACATCAATTACTACATTCATTCCCCTCGAATTTCAGGAGGATGAGCAGCAGGAGCAGCAGCCGACCCTTAAGGAATCGAGTCAGCCGTAATCCCTGAAACGGTTTAGGCCTTGCACGGATACCAACCGCGGGACAGCTGAAATTCCTCAAAGGAGCAGGTTAACCACGACGATCTTGTTCCACGAAGACACGTTGCTATCGTTCGATCGAGTGTGTGCGTCTGTGCGCGCAGGTGGACAGGATAGGAAGTTGAGCAGGAGAAGGGAAGCAGAAGGGTGATCTCTCCGTCTAAAGGCAACCACCACCACCACCACCACTACCACTACGAGAGACCGTTAACTCGGCTGGTTAAAGACACAGTCGCGTCTGGTAGCCGCAACATTCCACAAACTTGCACAATATCCACAAACCCGGGAGGCCGCGAAATTCTTTGGCAAATCTTCTTGCTTGCCCGGAGAGAGACAGAACGGAACGGAACGCGTGCGTGAACGCGGCCGAAGCGACGACGCTCTGTCGAGCAGAGGGTGTTGAGGGGCAGAGAGAGCGACGAAAATGCACCGTTGAAAAGGGTCTCGAGAAGAAGGTGGAAACGTCGCGGGGGAGGGCGGCTCTGTTAACGCGCGCGACAAGTGACGTCGCGTTGGAACAGTCGAGACATCTGTAAATGAGGAAGCAGGGAAAGTAGGCGTGACAAGGGTCCGCTTAAAGCGGAATATTAGTCGTGTCACCTAATGATCGTCGTGCTTCACGTCCATTCGGCTCCAGTCGTAATATCAAGCGAAATTTCCACCAGGTCCACGGCTCGTCCTCGCCGTGTATTTTGCACGGGCCTTGTTGTGTAGAGACCCTTCTTCTCTCTTTCAACCTCGACGTTTCCTGTATCTCCAATTAAAACCGAGGGCGGAAGGGAGAAAGATTCGCAGCTGAAGAAAGACAGCGCTCTGAAGTCGTGACAGTTGGCCGTTTTAAACAGGATGGTAATTTCCATTCGTTATCGATGTTGATGCAGCCAACCAGACCGGTAAATGTTACGTTACAAAAGGATCTGTACGGACGGCGAAGCGAGAGAAGGGGGCAATTGACGTGGAAGCTTCGAAGGCTATGGTAATATTAACGTTAGAAATTAAACGATCCGTGGTACGATGGATGTTCGCTAAAAGCATCGCGATCGTATTAATATCCCAACTGGGAAGGAGAAGCAAAGAAAAATCTTGTAGCGAAATAGCAGGAATTAGGAAGAATTAGGAAGAAGAAGCGTGAACGTTACTCGTGGATGTTTCTCTCTCTCTCTCTCTCTCTCTCTCTCTCTCTCTCT